ATCAGATGTCCAGGCATTGGGATTGAGAGGGTCCATCATCCGTTGTGAAACCAACCCGTCAACTTTTTCGAAGGGGGACGCGAAAATATATTTTTGCCATTCACCTCCATAAAACTTGGCCTTGGTTGCTGTTGGCAATGACCGTACAGACTGTCGTCTATCAAGATACATTACTGTTTCTGCCGACTCGGGTTGTCTGTATTTATCGGAAGTCGGTTTTATCCTCAACAGAATGTTTCTCTTCTCCCAGTAGGAGTTGTTTATCTCGAGGATGAGAGCTTCGAGCTCTCGATCTTCGTTATAAAGATACCACCAGCTCACAACACTCCTAGACCATCCCATAAACTGAGGCACACTCAACAAATATGCATAAGGCCACTGAGTAGGGGCTTCGTTCTATCTCATGTCAGTATTCACTTTGCTTCCCTTTACTCTAAGCTTTCTGTACCTGAGATTTAAGAAAGTTGTCCAATTTCTCTCTCAGATCTACTCCATGATCTCCTCTATGTAGGAATCTTGCTGAGTCGAAGCTGAACCAGCAACTCCAATGGGAGAATATGCGAGTCCAAGAGAATAAAGTAGTATTTCCCGGTGGCGGGGAGACATCGAGGGACTTGTCATCGACGGCCAAAAGGTTACCAACACGGCAACGAAGCCCAACGGGCACACCTATAAGCAGAAACCGATTGTTGAATTTGTCTTTAACAGGTGAGAGACGAATATGCTTGAACTTGACCGGAAATAAAAGAGGTTTTCCCAGCACAGTCTGGCCTTTATCTGATAGAGATATCAACTCCCGAGATGTGAAGAGCGTCCGAGCTAACATTATGAGGAACAAAGAGATAATGATCAACATCACAAAAATCACGCTCCAGGTCACAGTCTGTATCGATATCGAGATTGTTGGAATTTGGGACACTTGTCCCAAATATAACAGCAGTAGTGTTACGTCCTTGATCATCTTGTTCTTTTCGAGGTTCCTTTATGGCTGATTTTAGATCTCTGTCTTGTTACAGAAAATCAAGGGTGGTCTACGTAGGTGCCTGGCATGGGTATAACTTTTTATATATTAGATACTGAGAGTGCGAGTACTGAAAAAATAAAAAATAAAGTTACGTTTCGATCCCAAGCGCTCGGGTATCTCCGAGCACGGTAGAAAATGAAAAAAAAGAAAGAAAAAATTCGAAAAAAAAAATAAAAGCCAACACAGACGAGCGAATTATTACAGACACACGCAAGCTGACGCCTCAAGGACCTAGATTGATGGGACCTACTCAGATTGCAGATCAGGTAGCCTCCTTGATCGATTATACGGCGTGGCGCGTATCAGGGCTTGACAGATGGTTTCCGAAGCCCAATATATATTTTCCGAGATATTTGGTTTATGAAGGCTGGCTGAATGCTGCTGTGGATGTAGGCTGGCTGGCTGGCTGGCGCGTCTGCGTGGCTGGTGGGTCTTCGGTATACGGCGCCTTCGGTATCTGCAAGATGAAACAAACAACCAATAATTATGGCGAACGCCGCATCATCTTACAACACGAAAAGAGACTCGATAGAATAAGCGAAACAAGGTTATTGGTTACAAGCTGTGGCCTATACGATATCACAGTGACGGTGAACCTGGCTATCATACACGACGATGGTGCATCGTACCCACTTCAACATGAGAAAAGCAAAATATAGCTTTTGAGAACCTTATTTTACAATGTTCCTCAAGCTCGCTGGCACCGGCCTACTCGGAATGGCCGATACTGTAATACGGAAAAGAACACTAATTTCTTCAGAAGCTGGAAGCCTGGACGTGCAAACCCTTCGTCTGGGACTGGAGACCTGATAGCGGCGTCAGATCATGCGACAACGATATAAATCTCAGTTGCTCACCACCTGGGCAGAAACGGATCGTTTCAAAATTCTCCTTTTGACTACGACTTGAATTCGATTATATTCTGATCTAGCATTCTCAAACTCCTCTTTGATTACGGCCATGGGTCTTTTATCACTGCCTCCATGCCGTGTAATCATCATCGGCGGTGGAGTATCTGGAATAGCAACAGCATGCCGTCTCGCGAGGGACTTTAGTTTGGATAATTATTGTGTCTATGATCGTCAAGTGGGATTGGGCGGAACCTGGCTGGCTAATACATGTGAGTGAATTTTCCAACTTGATGGAACACAGATCTAATGTCGGGGTTTTTTTAGATCCTGGTTGCGCAGTCGACATTCCTGGATTCTGTTACAGCTACTCGTTCGCTTCGAAACCCGATTTTACACAGATGTTCCCGCCTCAAGCAGAGATACTGCAATATTTGTTGACAGTCGCCAAGGAGTACAGCGTGGACCAGCATTTCAAAGGAGGCATGGAATGGATTGCTGCTGACTGGCAAGAAAAGTCAAAAACTTGGGTAGTCATATTGAAAGATATTCAGACAAGACAAAGCTTTAAGCAGGAGTGCCAGGTGTTGATATCTGCAGTTGGAGGACTAGTCAACCCTCAGGAAATCAACATTCCTGGTGCTGAACGCTTTCAGGGAGCGATCATTCATACATCGAGGTGGAAGAATGGGTTTGATCTTACGAATAAACACGTCGCTGTTATTGGCAATGGAGGTAAGCAGCTTCTCATTTGCTCTGCGTTGGTATCACTGGAATCTCGAGTGACAGGAGACAGCCTCCGCCATGCAAGTGGTACCAGCCATCATCAATGAAACGAAATCAGTTACACAGTTTATGCGGGTTGGTATAGTACCGCTCCCACCTTTCCAAAAGGCTAGTTGCTGAACTTTTTGCCATACAGTCACCTCATCACATTGTTAGTGCAACGAACTACATATTTTCCTCAAAGTGGAGGAATCTACTCCATCGTTTTCCTCTCCTGTTTTATATAATCCGGATTATATTGTTTGTCTACATGGAGATCACTTGGTTCCGTTTTCAAAACAACCATCTAGGGAAGCTCGGTCGTGAATCTGTCCGACGAAAAAGTCGGAAGTATGTTCAAGACATGGCCCCAGGTATGAATATTCAGCTCAAGTCGTGATACCTTCACAGCCAGACTAATCACCGAATTTAGAGTCCTATTGGAATTTGTTAATACCAGAATACGAGTTTGGATGCAGGGTAATACCTCTAGCTTATTGGAGGGATATATTTACATGGTCGAAGCTCATGTTTAATTAGCGACGGATCTTCGATCGCGGGTACCTCGCCGCCCTCCATAAGAGTAACATGCGCCTGACGAATGATCCTATTGTGGAGATTACTGAAAACTCAATCATTACTTCCTCAAACGAAGAAGTTTTTGTCGATGCAATTGTACGTTTACAATGAACCTTCTCAGGATAAGAAAAGGGCGAGGCTGACAGATTTCAAGTTACTGGCCACCGGATTTGCGCTTACTCACTACGATGTCGAATTAAGGGGACGGAATGGCATTACTCGGAAACAATATTGGGATGATTATGGCCACAAGGCCACTTACAAGTCGATAGCCATGCATGGATTTCCGAACTTTTTTTATATTTTGGGACCGAATTCAGGTCGTCTTTACACATCTACGATTCAAATGATCGAAAGGTACGATCTCTCTTATAAGTTCTATCTGCAGGTCTAATCAAAAACAGTGAGGTGGAGATGGTGCTAGATGCCATTAGACCAATCCTTATCTGCCAGGCCTCTTCAGTTGAAGTCAAATACGACAGCCAACGGTCATATGATATACGGTTACATAAAGCTATCAATAAGACGGTCCACAGTAATGTGTGTGGCAGTGTACGTTTGAGAATCCATTTATGTCTTCATTTGACTAGAGGCTAACTTGGAACTGCAGTACTTCATTGATAAGAATACAGGGAAGAATTGGTTTGTCTATCCATGGAATTCATTCCACCTGTGGCTTTCTACGAACTGGACCTTTTCTAGTGACTGGGATTATCGAGTAAAGAGGTCTTCTTGACTAAAGATTAGGGAGAAGTATAAAAGGATATCTTTTCTCATAGAGTAAGAAGAAAATATCTGTGGCGAAAATAATATAAAGTTGGAGTTACGTACAAAGCCATCTTCATTCACGAGTAGCCATCCTAAATCTTGCCGTTCCTTCTAACATACCTTCAATAGAAATTAGCTTATACGACTTGAGGGTTAAGGGGAATATTGCATAACGAGTTTGTTCTACTAAATTGCTTGGTTCTTACGTAGGGAGTCTTTTTTTTCCGTGTCTAGTCGGCCTATCACAACTAGCTCTGCAGCTGACCTAAATTAACTGAACCAATTTGAAACTTTTGCTTATGAGACGAGTTTTGATAGATCTAATTTGAACTTCAATTTGAGATCAGCGTGCAATCTGGTAAGATCTCATGAAAGTTTGTAGAGACCAACTATGTGACTATTGAAGCTTATACAGTCTCGGTAAGCAAAGTTTGATGTTCAGCAGATTAGAGTATTGTCAGGTATAATAAGATTATGTAGGGCTATCGGTCATATGCTCTGGTAGATGGGAGAATACTACGCTAGTTATGAATACAGATATCTTCAATGGTAGTGATTCCGACTTATTTCCGTATCAGGGCAAACCGAGATTGTAGCACAAATGCTGGACCTTGCCAAAGCAAAGCCTTTCAAGGAAGAACAGCGAGAAACCCGATTGACTTTGAATAAACACGTACTGAGTGCTTGCATATGACAAGAAAGAAAATGCGTAGCCCCTGTGAACCTTTGTTTAGACAATACCACAGGAAGATTTCATGTGGGGTTGTTTATCCACGTATATGGATCATGTCGCGATCACTTTACTCAAACCCCATAATCGGGAGTGTGGTCCTCATCCGACGTCCCCACGTATTGAGCGGCTATATGAGTTTAGCTGGACCGAGAAGGGCAGGAATTAAAGGCGAGCTATCGATGTCCTTGTTCGAAGAAGTAGATATCATAACACCGATTTAGAATTTTTTTTGGACATTCCCTTTTCCTACCGTCCCAATCGTTCCTGTTTTGTAACAGTTAAAATGGCACTTATTTCTACCAAGGAGGAAATGAAAATCATTTGGCGCGATTCAGCCGATGCAGCTATTTACGAAGACGCTCGAGTCGGCCGTGTGTTCAACCAACGGCGACCGCAGAGGTTCCCCCTTGCGGTGGTAAAAGCTACCTCCCAGGATGAGATTAAAGCTGCAGTGAAACTAGCCATTGAAAAGAACTGTCGTGTCGCCGTCCGCTCGGGGGGCCACTCATGGGCTGCTTGGAGTGTGCGAGACCAGTCGATTTTGATTGATCTGGGTAACTACAAGGGATTCGAAGTTGACCAAGAAAATCGTTTGGTGCGAGCAACTCCTAGTGTGACGGGCAAGGAGCTGAATGGAAGACTTATTTCGGAATATGGTCTTATGTTCCCCGGAGGACATTGCCCAGATGTAGGATTAGGAGGATTCCTGCTTCAGGGGGGCATGGGATGGAATTGTCGGGTATGCCTCATGGAACGTCTCCTTCCCAAATTCAATAACAGCACTGATATTGATGATCTCTGGCAGAATTGGGGTTGGGCATGCGAGCGAGTAAGGGCTGTCGATGTTGTGACAGCTAGTGGTGAGCTGGTACGATGTACTCCGGTCGAGAACCCCGATCTTTATTGGGCGGCTCGCGGAGCAGGACCAGGTAAGAGGATAACAGGATTATGATGTATCTACTTTCGATGAACCTAACAGAATACTCCAGGATTTCCTGGTATTGTAACCATGTTTCACCTCGAATTACTACCTTATCCAGCTGGTGGGTTTCGTTCCTCGGGGTATATCTATCCTTCCCATATGTACCGTGAGGTGTTCGACTGGGTACTTTCCATTACGCCGGGATTTGATGAAGATACGGAAATAGTTTTTGTTTCAAAGTATGCCGAAGACAGTAACCAGCTGTGCATCCTAGTCCTCTTCGTGACCATGAAAAACAGTCCCAAAGAAGCTGAAAATGCTCTCATCAGTGCTCAGGAAACACGACCCGGAGGTTGCATCGAAGAATGGTTCTGTCAAGTGGATAGTCTTGATAATCAATATATTGCTCAAGGAAAAGCCAACCCTGAAAATCACCGGTATTGTTGCGACAACGCCTACATTGACAATAACGCGGATGTACCAGCGGTTCTTCAGGACGCCTTTCTTACACTGCCCCATCGTAAGGCTTTTACCCTCTGGTACGCAATGAACCCCTGCAGTCGCCGTAAGCTGCCGGATATGGCGCTTAGTATGCAATCGGATCACTATTTCGCGTTGTACACAGTGTGGGAAGATGAGGCAGACGACGAAAGATGCCAGAAATGGGTCCATGAGATCATGAGAACTGTCGAATCGCACTCGGTTGGTGCGTATCTAGGCGACTCAGACTTTCAAGTTCGTCAGACACGATATTGGGCAGATGAGAATGCTAAGCGCCTGATGAACATCCGGCGTAGATGGGACCCGCAGGGTCGGATCTGTGGGTATCTTGATGCCGGGGATGTATCTGGAGTGAACGGATTAACCAACGCGATCGATTAATGACTGTGATTAGAGACTTGGAAGAAGCCATCTAGCACTGGAATTCATAGCCCAAGTAGTTAATCCAATCATCTGTTGCACAATGTCACGCATCCTTCAGTGCAGTTTGCTTTTCATGATATCCAGATATATTGTGATCTATAAGTGCCCTCCTTCGTACTTGGTGCCTAGAAATCGGGCTACAACCGGAATGTGGACCACATGCCGGATGCCTGGCAATCCCGGCAGCCAACCAGAATCCCCGAGGTAAAGTCTCCAGTACGTACCCATCACGCTTCCAATGTTGCTTGTAGGGTCTGCTTGCGGGGTCCCCAGACAGACGACAGACGTTTCTTGGCATCCCCTGGAAGACATCTTCCTTCGTCTGTGGATCGACCCATCAACGTCGTTTTCTTTCGTCTAGCCATCCCTCTCTATTTTCAATCTCTTAATATGAATACATAGGCCTTTAAGCTACCGAAATGAGCCCGCGGAGCTCATCGCCTCTTTCAACCGCCAAATCAGCGAATACCGGCGGCGGATATTTCCAGTGCAGGTCCTGCAACAAGTATTACAACCGCGCAGATCATCTGATCCGCCATGTAAGGTCACGTGCGTAGACATTGGGATATTTTTTGGATTGCCTGTAGTAACTGACCAACGTCGATAGACACCAGGGAGAAACCGTACGCCTGTCATATCTGTCACAAGGGCTTTACGAGACCGTGAGTGACCTCCCGGTATGCTCAGGTATACCCACGTCAACAAATGAGCTGATTTTCTTTTTTCCTTCGTTAGCGATCTTTTAAAAAGACATGCTGCCGGTCATGACCGAGAGGGCTTCTGTAAACATCGCTCCTCTGTCGTTGAGAAACATGCTCGCGTCTCGCAGGCGTGTAAGTCCTGCGCTGCGTCTAAGCTGAAATGCAACGACGATAAGCCATGTCAACGATGTCGCGAGAAAAATATCGTTTGTGAGGGTGTGCCTAGATCGGCAATGGCAGCGTTCCCTCCGAAGCTAACTGAGCGGCAAGGTACACTCTCCCAAGTTCACCCAGACATATTAGGTAGAGCTTTACCCTTTTTGCATGCATTGCTAAATCTCCACCAGGTCTTGTAAAGAATGACTGTAACCGGCCTTCGGTCAGGACAGAGGAGCTTGATGCCCCGTCCGATTTTCCGGATATCCAGCCTCATACGAGTGACCACCTGACGCCAGTACAATTCCGATCTCGGATCGAATCCAGCAACCTTTTGGCGGAAAAAGATCTGTTTTTAACACCGCTCTCTCCTCATGATGGTAGGCAGAGAAAAAGCTTCTCACACCGTCACACTAGGTAACAATTTGAACAGTAGCAGATAATACCATTTCTCCAACAGACGGCGGGAGTGGCATTTTCAGCCTTGACGGGACATTCTTCCCAGAGTTTATACCGGAATCGTTACCTTCTTCATTGCTACGACCATACGAGGTCGAAATGGGGTTATCTCTTGCTTTCAACCCTTCAAATTTCAATGAGTTCGATAAAACTAACATGCATTTGGATTTTGACCTTACTGAAGTCGATTATAGTCTCATTGATTTCTTCAGTATGAATGGCGTCAACGAGGGTATTAAATTAAATACTGATCCAGTTGAGAATGCTGACAGTGAGATTGCGCTCGGTGTTGAAGCCTTCCATCGGTCATCTCTCTCTGCCTGGAATCCAGACCATCAAGATCATGCATTCGCTGAGCACGACAATCTATCAGTCTCTAGAACTGTGATCGAGAATACAGAATTGAATATTTCTTATAAATATCCGACTCTGTGCGAACGGCTGTCGTCGACTAGCCGGGATCTTATTTACGGGATGGTATTGCACACCAGCAAAGGAGGAAATTTGGCAGGGATCATCAAGTCGTTCCCTAGCACCGAGTTACTCGATAGGTTTATACAAGATTATTTCCAGTTCCAAAAACGGCAAGTGGATTCGTGGATCCATTGTCCGACTTTTCAGCCAAACAGCGAAGGTCCAGAAATTCTGGCTGCGCTGGCATCCGCCGGAGCTACGCTTTCTCCTATCGGATCGATTCGAAAACTCGGATATGCACTAATGGAAATGGCAAGACTTCGCTTACCTGCTATAGTCTGTTTTTCCCTGATCTACCTATACGTTTCCGTCCCTCCTGGCTAACACGTCAATTGGGTCACAGTATGAGACTGATAACAGCATCACCCGAGATCTGCGGCTTTCCCAGGCGTATGCGCTCCTTATTAATGTTGGACTTTGGAGTGGTAATGGCCGCAAGATGGAGATTGCAGAGAGCTCGGCGCAGAATCTCGTGACGGTGCGTCATTTAGGCAATATTATATCTTTCTCTCTTCAATGACTAATCCTTATGGTCAGATGTTACGACGTGCACTCCGTTATCGTCGGTCGCGATATTCTTCCATTGTACCGACAACAATGGATGCAGGCCCGGAACTGAACAAAAAATGGCGCCAGTGGGTGGAACAGGAGTCCTTCAAGAGGTATGAACTTTGATAAACCACGGAGGATTAATATCAACTCACACCATCATATTCGCCAGACTCGTCTATCACGTTTTCCTCCACGATTCACAAGCGGCCGTGACACTCAATATCAACTCGCTTATCTCTTATTCCGATTTGCAGCTGCCCCTACCTGGGCCTCGTCGACTTTGGGAGGCAAAATCCGCAACGGAATGGAAAGAACTATATCTATCTTTACAATTATCTAGTTCTGAGCGTATACCATCACTGACGGACCTTTTGCGAGATATGTCCCAATTAAGAGTCTTTGAAGTCTCTATCGATACGCAAATGGCAGCTTTTATTCTACTACACGGTATTATCGCGCTGATTATGGAATATCACAGACTTAAATTTATATCTAAGGGACACTGTGAGCACTGGCATGCTTTACTCATCAAATCGCGCCATCAGGAACTCTGTACCGCGCTTCAACACTTCAGGACTGTGTGTTCCGCGTTGAACGACCCTCAGCGACCAGAAATCGATCTTGTCTATGAAGCCACCTCAATATTCTTGTACACATCGTTGGAAGAGCTCCAACTTTTTGCTGGCAAAGAAGACAAGAATGAGGCTCGGCGTGCGTATGATAGCGCCATTGAGTGGATCAATAATATGGACTCACGACGTGCAATTCTGCACGCGGGTCAGGCTGTACGTGCCGCAAAGGCTATCCCTGGTACTCTATTACGTGGATTCTTGGCGTTTGCAGTCTATCACGCGGGTCTAGCATTCTGGTCATACAGTGTAGTTTCCAATGCGAAAACCAAATCCGCAAAGGCGCCTTTGACCAGCCTTAGTAGTGCTCAGATTATTGGATCACCGCCCAGGCCAGCTGTTTTTTTGGATTCAAAGGAAACGCTTGACGTTGAGAAGTTTATTCCCCTTGCCTATGGTAGCCCAGCGTTGCATGGACCGCAGGGAACAACTATTTTGGTGGAAAATGCGTGTCAGACTATGCATATCATCCAAGATGTGCTTAGGAAGGATGCAACAAATGAAGCATTGCCTCCGTTGGTACTTAACTTGTGTCAACTGATGAATGACCTGGGGAACGCCGCTGGTGGAAACAACGATACTAGCTTGACTTAGATTGGCTCCGTTCACTGTCGACCACAGTTAGACTTGTTGGGATATACAAGAATAATATACATACCTAGGATGACGACAATGTAAGAAACAGTTCACATGTGCTAATCAGCTAAATCATAGACGTAGATGCTAATCTCAATAATTAATGATCTTCCACAACATAGTCATATTGAGCATATCGCCAGAACTCAAATATATATCCGGTGAGAATCACTGGCTGATGAACTTAACCTCAAGTCCTACATATCCACTTTCTGTGTCAAGACAGTAATGGTTGGGGATATTCATCGGCGTCCCAGATTTTAGTATAAAGCAACACTTCACTGACTTATCGCTTTTCATCACGTTGGTCATTGCCTACGGTTCTGGCGATGGCTCTATGAGTAGAGGGAGCCAGCTAACGACACCTGTGTTAATATTGTTCTGGAATTCTTGACCTGCAGATGAGGTCTTTTTTTATAATATAGGTTGCGAATCGAATTAAAAATCCGTCAATGGAGTCGGCTATGTTGTTCATTACATTAAAGGTCCAGTTAATAGTTCTATCAACTGAGGCGGCTAGATAGCCGGTATTGCTTCCCAAGTTGTTAGACGTAGCTTCAATACTTAATGAGAAACGCTTCTTGTCTATATCACAATAATCATATTTGTCTTCAATTGGATTGTCATAGTACATGGCCGATGTAATGCTGAACTGATCGACGATGGAAATATCCGTGCCTTTTACATCGAGGATTTAGGTAGGGTTCTGGAGTGTAAAATGGTGCAAGCAAGTTCAGAGGTGAAGAAACTAAATAACATTCGAGTAGAATCACTGTTAGATGGCCCGCTAGACAGATTGAAATGATAACTGAGCAAAGTCAATTATGTCAAAGGGCATTGAAGTAACATACCTCTCACACGGTGTCTCAAAAAACGGTATATAGCTAAGAAACCAGACGCGAATAATGACAAGTGTTCGTCAGCTGACGTCCTCGGTCTAACCATAGATAGAACCCCGGGTGCTGACCTAGGGTGGAAAGCATCATCCCCAAAGGAAGCTAGCTTTGTGCATAAATTCCAATAGTGCATATTGACTGCACGTCGGCACGTCGAAGTGTTCTCGTGGAGCTATACAAAAGGTCGTAAGCCCCTTACCAAAGGCTATTAGTTCTCTAGTGGAATGTGTACATGAGCATAGTACGAAATATTAGAAGCATCAAGAAGAAGAATATTCGAGCTCCTAGCTAGGTGTTCGCATATGCAATGCCAATCAGAGAGTTAGGTCTCCATAACTCCATAAATTTCGAAGGAATTTCCTGTGTGGGGCCGAAATGTTGGGTCTTACCGTAGTGTGGGGACGAAATCCGGGGTAAGCAAGCATCCTTCGGCTGACCGATGTCCACATTGCCGAGCATGATCATGCTGGTAGGCGAAGAGATTCAAAGCACCCGTGTAATATATATACTTGTTTATTTCATCTTATATTGAAGTATCGAACCCAAAGATTGCTACATTCACCAAAGCCTCCCAACGGAAATTCCACTTTGACAATGGCAGATGTCGCGGAGCAGACCAATGGCGGTCACGAGCATTTCCATATGCGTAGTCTTGGCCATCTCAGACTGCGACACCAGCATACAAACGAAATTATTCTGACACCTACTCCATCCATTGATCCCAACGATCCATTGAGATGGTGAGTCTATCGACACAAACCGTGCACGGATTAATCATGCCCGCCCAAATTGAGTAGCGCATTATCCTAACACTAATTTGCAATGTTCCAGGAGCACCTCGTACAAGATTTATATTGCTATCCTCGTCTGTCTCGCAATGATCATGTGTAACTTTATGGCAGCGGGGCCTACCGTGGCCATGGTCCAGGTCGCTCAAGATTTCTCGGAAGGGGGCAACACTAACCTGTCCGATTGGATAGCCCGTGCAGCGTACTTTTTTAACAACAGCGCGCTGCTTCAGGGAGTCTCAACACTGTTCTGGGTGCCACTACTAAATAAATACGGACGTCGGCCCGTGTATCTCGCGTCTTTGGTCCTGTATTTCTTCATGATATTGGGAGCCGGATTGGCGCGAACCTACGCCGGTGAGCTGACGACTAGGACAATTCTTGGATTTGGTGCAGGAGCTGGAGAGTGCCTCGCGCCGGTGACGATTGCAGATGTTTTTTACCTGCATCAGAGAGGTTATGGAATGGCGTGAGTGTAACTGCAAAGTCTTTTGCTTCGATGAAATAGTGCTAATCCAAAGCCATGCAGAATTTACAACGCTGCACTCTCCGCCGGAGTGGCTTTTGGCATTATTATTTCTGGCCTTGTTACAATCCAGCATTCATGGCGCTCCATCTACTGGGTTGGTTGTGGCCTCGTCGGAGGTTTGCTCATTGTTGTCTTCTTCTTTTTCCCGGAGACAGCATTCGTCCGTGTGGGAAACCCTCTCGCTGAACGTAGCTACGAAGTGGAAAAAGAGGCGGAGGCTACCACAACCGAAGCCCTACCTGATATTCCACCCAAGGATAGCTACTGGCATCATTTACGCCTCTGGAGTGGCAAGACGTACACTGAAGAATCTTTCTGGCGAATGTTTGTTCGTCCCTTTGGTCTGATTTTAATACCGCCGGTATTTTGGGCCACAATAGTTATGTCTGTCACCATCGGCTTCCTCGTTGCCGTGGTGTCAAATTTTGCTTCCGCATTTAGTACTGTTTATGGATTTTCCGCATGGCAGAGTGGTCTCTGCTTTGTTTCGGGGATGGTAGGCTGCTTGTTGGGTACTTTTGCCGGAGGCCCATTTTCTGACTGGGTAGCCGATTACTTCACACGGCGGAATAATGGCATTCGGGAACCGGAGATGCGCCTTCCAGCCATTATACCTAGTGTCATTGCAGCACCACTAGCACTGCTGTTGTACGGCTTGGGTATTGCGAACGCCTGGCATTGGATGGTTCCTACTTTCGCCCTCGGTCTGCGTAAGCCTATTCTTTTTCATTTATCTTTCTTTTTCCGATCCTGGCAATGGTCTCGTTGTTTGAAAAGTGGGGATCAATACTAATCAATACCTGGTAGTTTCCTTCGCTATTTCGCAAGGCACCAACGTTTCGTTCGTGTATTGTATTGACTCCTTCCGGCCCATCGCAGCGGAAGTCACTGTGACCCAGTTGGCTTTTAAATGTACGTTTCCTTTATTGATCAGATATACAATGAGCTAATAACAACTTGTAGCATGCTTCGGATTTCTTTTATCTTTCTATACTAATCCTTGGGTTGAAAAATCTGGATACGCTGCGGCCTACGGAGCGATGGCAGGTATTTCTGGAGGCTGCCTATTATTCTTTATACCTCTCTTCTTCTGGGGTAAGCAAATTCGAACTTCATCGATGAAATGGTCATTTCTACAGTTCGTCTTTTGGAAAAACGATCGCGAGGTTGGAGAGTAATATGCGGCATACTTTTAGGCGCCATCACACCCCGGCATATCTCACAACTTCAGCTCTTCCTTATGTTGCTGATCATTGGTATCTCTTGTAAATTATGAGACATCTATCAACCCGTTAAAAGTCGTTTATCAAATTCCATAAAACTTCATCCTATGTAACTTCGAAAATAAGTTCAACAGATAGAAATTCCCCCTTGTTCAACAGTGGACGGTCCAAAGCATACAACTGAAGCTGATTTGAACAGCCTGACTAGTGAAGATACAGCCTAGGTTTCTGATATTCAACACCCGAATAAAGCAGATTTCTTGCTTCTCATATGCACATACTAGTTGTCAGTAATACTAGCTAGTTATGACATTGGCTCCTTGTACACGTCATACCATTTTAGATTAGCTATAGACAATGCTAATAGAGTAAGTACGACTAATATGACAAAACTAGGAATTCCATGACCTACTTAGGTGTTGTATACGTGTTAAATACATATAGATCGACAGATTTTCCACATACAACGCGGGGTGAGGAGTTTATGATTTGGATACTTATCTTATAGTGTATATTTAGGACGAGCCTGCAGTTATAGGTGTGCTTGGCTCAGTATTTTCCCTAGTATTACGTACTTTACCTTTCTACAGATGAGGAAGGCCATTGGATTCGTTCAAATTGGGGTCGGGTGAGGGTAAATCTGCAGAGTCGAGCTGATCGATATAACAGAATGGCTTCAAATTTGATAACTGACATCTAGAACTATCTATTGGGGGAAGAAGGCCATACTTATAGCCTATAAGTGGCTCTCTTTCATGATCGTAGGGCTAACCCGTAAAAAGAGGTAGAGATACTGGTCGAGACAGAAGTACGTACAAAATTTTAAGCTCTTTCCGCATAGACAACAAATATATGTGAGACCTGCTTTTTGTGTCTCAAACCACACGAAACCCAGTACAGACGATAGCGTACGGAAGTATCTTCTAGATGGGTGCCTAAAAGTAATAATCCAGTGTCCAATTCTAGATAACATTGTATAAAGCTCCCCAAAACACATATACAGGCTCCCCCAACAGAGGCAACAGTAATTTCAATAGGTATATAGTGGGTGATTGATTTGTAGGCGGCGATGTCAACGGAATATCGGAAAGAATTATTGCTTGAAATGCCGCGCTGATTGTGAAGTTACGGGGAATGTCGGAGAACATACACTCTACATCATACATCAAACCCCGCAGTCAATCACGATTCTAAAACTTACGGAGTGGAGAAAAACGCGAATTGCCATAAAGCTCACATATCATGATCGACAGGAAATAATACATAGTCATATACGGAGTCCAGACTCGGCAATTCTTACCAATCACTTACTGCGTGTCGATTGCTACGAATTCTAACTCTCTCGACTTCCCGGCTGAATGAACGCCAATGGCTAATATCAATTATTGCTGTAATTCTACTTACCGTCCAGGCTAAGTGAAACGAAAGAATTGTTAACACCCTGTTTTCGAACCTCACCACTTCCGTATCATATTACCAACGTACGCTCCGAACTAGTGATATCACGTGTTATAATAGAGTGGAAAAATGGCTGAGTGGAAACATATGGTATAGCAAAGTAAGAAGAAATAGGCTGAAGAGCAAAAGTGGACTACAGGAGAGTCAGCTTGTTATCTGTAAACTGCATTTACTTCAGGAAAATTTTAAGAACATTTCAGCGTTTAGTCTAGCCTTTGTGAGAGGGAACATGAAACCCCAATATAGCCTATACGATACTTTAGGGAGACATCCCTTACTCATGGTAATGAGAAAAATGAAAGAAATTTGAAGGAGAGCTTTAGGTAGACAGCCATTCATTCTCGTTTGAGCAGGTAGCTAGGTAAATATTGAATGTAATATTGAAACTACTCCGAGTAATCCAAAGCCGGGAGCATACTCCGCTGCATCTCCACCACGCGTTACATACAGTCTTAAAATCTTGGGAATTGCACAACCCTCAATTTATCGAGTGAATGGCGATGTCGACTTCGAAATTTTCGACAATAAACCTATACTGAATCTAAGAGCCAGACACGGTCACGGTTGCACTTCCTGCGCCGTTGAAAGCCTCCACTGCGAAGACCTGGAAATTGTATGAGTTGCCAAAGCCGTGCTGAGCCCAGAAATTGAAATGGTTACTCGTCGTGACGGTTCCAGACGAACGCTTGCTCTGTCGAACGGAGAAAAATTGCGTGAAAGTGCTCGTACCCGTGATGGACGGCTGGTTGTAACGGGTATCGGTGCAAACTTGGTAGGTGCCACCATCCGAAGACAAGGTACCGAGGCTTGTAGCTCCGCTGCAAGGGTTATAATCGCCGTAATTCTCAACGATATAGTATTCAGCCTGGGGGCTATTGATCCAGCCATAAACCGACAGGTAAGAGCCAGAACTAGCAGCATTGTAGTTTGCAGAGTAGGTAATGGACCTTCAAAGACGTTAAATTGGGGGCCCACAGTCTAAAATACGTGTACATAGCAACCTACCGAGGAGAACCGGTACTCCAACCCAGCCCAACAACAAAATCTCCATTGACCCCATCCTCCCAGTACATTGAATATGTTCCAGCACCCTCGTTGTACGAGAATGCACCAAGATTTCCATTATAGTTCTGAACGTAGTTGATAGGAGTCGAACGCTCCATCAAGTCAGAGTTGGCAACAGGAACTGCCATTGCAGTGGCCAGGAGGCCGGCAAATGTTGCTGCGATCTTCATCGTGGATCAATCAAATAGATATTTTTGAAATCGAAAAGTAGGTATTCACAACGGAAGACGAAATTGGTGCTAAGTATCTTGGTGATAACTAACTCCGTCCAAGAGTCCATTCTCCTCTTATTTATATTTCATAAATGAAACAATTGATCCTGGATTTCTGCCTATTTTCTCATGATTGCCCCGTATATTCAGCCTATTCATCCGCCAGTTCAATGAATTGTTTCATTTTGCCGTTTTATCTACGATGGCTAAATGGGTGGTGCCCCTTTTCCGTGTAGAGAGTAGTAAAACAAACAATTGAATGGTTTCTACGGAGTACACGCTGATAAATTGCAGGATAGGAACTCCCGCTGTGGAGTTTACCCCGCCCTCGGCACTTCATCGAGCTGCAACATTGCAGCGGATAAAGACGCTTCAATTGTACTAGGGTATGGGCGCTGGGAAGTAGGACTACAAGCCTATATTCCAAGATCGGCTGAAGATCTACATAACAAGCGACTAAACCAGGGAGGTTCAGATTGTTTGGAGCTGACAAACCGCAAACTCTATATACTGACCAATGGGATAGTATACTGCTACTGCTAGTAATAGCCTAAAATGGAAATATAAATACCTTACTGTCTTTTTATAGGTCGAGCTAACAGTCATTTGACTGTTATATAACTGTAAGTCGGCCATTACGTGAGCAGTTTAATAGGACAAACACTACCGCTTGGCATTTGAAGACCATCCAAAGCCATGACGTCTTAAGAGTTTCACGACATCTTAGATTACATAATGGTTACAATCCGCGTAGAGCAACAGCGGGGGTTCCAAAGTAGATTGTAGCAGCTATTATGGAGGATGACCACATTTTCGCAGATGTTAGCAAAGCAGTGCCATCAAAAGTAGGTCAAATTAATACTCATTGTTTGTCCACGTCTTTGAAGACGGTTATCTTCGATGGAGGCTGCTCAACTTGAGAAGAATTGATTGAAAGAAAATTGAGTACAGAGATTGGAATGGCACATTACTGTCACGAATATAGTAGGTTTAATTTCTAGATTACTAAAATTCTATTCTTAATTAGAATCTATTTAGCTCCTGTGAAAATCAATATAACCAAACTACGAGGTTCACTCTACCTGAAACATCTTGACGCACCATTGTCAGAACGAAGGTGGATCCAGGTCCGCGACATAACCCCTTATTTAAATAACTCTTTTCTTTAGCTCATGTCTTGTTGGTTTTCCTACATATTCGTTTAAACTGATATTCTCGCTGCACTACAAGTAAGCAAGAGCAATAGAGTAAGCTCTCATCATTAAATCTTGACTAGATTTACACACTTAAAAGATCCTGTGAGAGAGTAATGAGCCGTTTACCAGAGAACTCAGTAGGTCAGAGAGAAGTTGACATTGTGAAGACTGAGATTGTAGGTACTGTAACAATGAATAGATAAATTAGGATAGTTTAGACTTCGGCGTTTCTCTTCCAACAATAATATAATCAACAAGGCTGACTGAAGTCATTATCACAATTCTAAAGATCTTGAAGAGCGGCGTAGGGGCACTGACAAAATCACAGAGTCATAAAGAATCAATGTGTCAACCTGTTGAACAACTTTGACGGTCAAATCTTGACTCGAGCTCAAAATTTCATGACTTGATAAGAATCGGTTATTTTCTCCGACCTTTACCGGGTGTCTAACAGCCAACTAGATTTCTTGGCGTGGGGTAATGAGTCATTTCAGCCCTTTTGGTGTGAACTTTTGACGGAGATTCCAGGCGATCACGGCATGATCAAGATCGGGAAACAGGCCGAGCTTTGCCGGCTGATAAAGTCCATCTCTGTAGGCTCATAGTGAGGCTGACTATTTGATAAGTATTCAATCAACCCGGTATTGCCAGTTGTTCCCGTAACTGTCTCTTCGCATTCTCGTGTATAGACATGCATGAATAGACTGGTCTTGATTGCTTAATCTGGTTCTCTGACGGTGACTATAAAAAGTGAAATCGTGATGAGGCTAGCATTTAGCTGCCTGGCCTTTCTGTGGCTCGGTGTTTCGGCCATCACCTTGCCGGAATCTTATAATGTTGTGTGGACTTCCCAGAGTAACCGCTCGGCGGATTCAATGCCACTTGGTGGTGGTGGTCTGGGAGTCAATGTCTGGGTTGAAAACAGTAAGAAGAAACAACCCCTATCCGCTTAGAATGTTTTGTCTCACACGGTGCCCCAGACGATATTCTTTTATACATTGCCAAAGAAGGAGCTTTTGACGATAACAACAGTCTTGTTAAATTGGGACGCATACGTCTAACACTTGACCCGAACCCATTCGAATCTCAATTCAAGCAGACTCTCCATCTGAATGATGGTTACATTACGATCACGGGGCAAGACAAAACAGCTTTAGACCTATGGGTCGATATCAATAATGCTGCTCTCCATATTGAACTCAGTTCTCCAGTCAAGGAGGTGAAGGTTAAAGCTGCGTATGAAAGCTGGCGGTGGACAGATCGTCTCATGGCATACGATGAATGGGGTAATTCCTCTTCTATCTTCGCTTCCTCTTTTATTGCTTTTTATGCATGACGATCTAAAATCTTTCTAGAACAATCGGACTGGAATCAAGTGGAGTATATCAAACCAACTCCACTTACTCGGGCCGATAATATATCATTTGAGGAACACGGTGTACGAATGTTTCACCAGAATCAACCGAACACAACATTAGATGTTGTTGCGGCCGAACAACATTTTGAGATGTTTAACGAAACCATGTTCAATCCACTGGCATACAACACAGTAAGTTGTAATGCTTTCTGAGTCACGATGTCTTATAGTAACAACATCACTAGTACGGGCTGTATATGTATAGTTCTAAATTAATTCCCGGACCCATCACTAGTGGCCATTATATGAACACCACTTTCAAAGCTTGGAGCCTACAAAGCGAAGCAACGTCAAACTTATCACTCACAGTATTTACGTTCCGGAAACAGACCCCTAATATCCAAGAATTCAACGCTAGTTTTGAAGAAAATATCGTCAATGCAACGCAAGAAAAACATGAGAACGTTAAATCCTGGTGGCACGATTATTGGGACCGAAGCTGGATTATCATCAATGAGGGAATGGGAGAACACGATCCTGGCTTTACAGTTGGCAAGAACTACCAAATTTTCCGCTACATGCAAGGATGTAATTGGGGTGCCGAATGGCCAATGAAGTGGAACGGCGGTCTGTTTACCTACGATCCATATTGGGTAGACCCTACGAATCCCTGGACACCAGATTATCGTTCTTGGACAGGGGGAGTTCACACCGCACAAAACCAACGTCTTCTCTACTGGCCTATGCTGAAAAGTGGTGACCTCGACCTGATGAAACCACAATTTGAATTCTATCGGCGTTTGACCCCTGTCGCCATGCAAAGAGGGATAACCTATTTCAACATCAACGCCTCGTTATTTACGGAACAATTAGAAAACTACGGTCTCCCAAGCTACCTTGACTATGACACAGACATTTATTTCTATAATATGTCTCGGCCAACCTCTTTCCCTGTTGGTATTGAGTGGAACGATTGGCTTGAATGGCTACAAGACACGGCAAATGAATTTGCTGATATGATACTTCAAGCAGCCATGTTTTTTGATTTGGATCTAGATCCATACATGCTTTTCATTGAGGTATGTGATTTTTGCCGACGTAGCTCCTCGCATATTGTGGAGACTGTGAAGAATGATCACTAACTTTTGCAACTATGAACAGAGTCAGCTACAGTGGTTCGACATTTTCTATCAACAATACCATAGTAGAATCGATACTTATAGTACGGCACAGATAGGTGGCACGTCAAAGCTTGTCATCTATCCTGGTTCTGGAGCAGAGACGTACAAAGTTGCATACAACCCAGCCTCGACGGTATCTGGACTTAGAAAAGTTCTAGCCGATCTTCTTCAGATCAACCCAGACTATGTGATGGGTAATACGACATATTATCTGAATTACACGGATCGTGTGCCTGAAACACCATTAAGATATCAACAAGGCTATGAATGTATTAGCCCTGCACTGGCGTATGTTAGGATTCAAAACTCAGAGGTCCCCCAACTTTATCCTGTCTTTCCATGGGGTGAATACGGTCTTGGTCTACCAAATCTTACTAGAGCTATCAATACCTACTTCTACGATACCGAAACGCAGAGTTTTCATGGCAATACTGGTAAGTAAGCGTTCTTCCTTTGTCTGACATCATCTACTTTTCCTTTGTTGCCTAAGAGGCAGAAGGCAGAGTGTATACTCATGCATATTCAGTAGCGTGACTTATTTAGATATATGAACGATGTCAAGAAAAAGCTAATTTTTATTGACTGATTTCCCAGGATGGAAACAAGATGTTATTTGGATGGCACGAATGGGTCTGACTAAAGAAGCTACGAATTTAACCGTGTCCCGCTGGGCCGACTCTACTGTCTCTCGCTTTCCAGTCTTTAAAGGTCCAAACTACGATTGGGCACCTGATATGAATCATTTTGGATCCGCATCAATTGCGTTGCAAGAAATGTTGCTGCAGACATATGTGAACAATAACACACAAATAAGGTTATTGGGTGCATGGCCAAATGAATGGGACGTCGACTTCAAGCTCTATGCCCCATTTCAAACAGTTGTTAAAGGGGTTGCCAAGAGTGGTCAATTAGGAAACCTAACTCTTATACCTTCTTCGCGTAAAGCCGATGTCGTCTACGGCCACAATTAGCAGGGTCGAAGCAAGTCACTTTATAGCTTCCGCACGTTGGAGGACAGTCTCGCTTAACAACTACAATCCCGGGAGTCATTGAGGGTACAGTGGATTTTCATCGAGAACCTATTTTACAATGTTCATAGCTTCTCATCCATTGTATTAGAAGTGAAGGGCGGCATTCATTTTGGAACTGCTTTCCAAGTCATATCGTGGTTTATTGAAGTGGTTGATGGGCCTTGAGTTGTCTAGCCCATGGTTGGTGTAGCGTGAAAGACGCGAAATACTAGGGAACGGAAGTAACGAGTGGAGTACGCTACTAGGCCCATCGCCACCTTTTGCTGCATTCTGACTAGGTTGAATACAGAAACTGAAAATAGTGTGCACAGCATAGATATAGAAATCAGCATTGACGGACTACATTTATGCCCAATCTTTCTAATTAAATTGAAAGTCAGTAAGAAGAGTTGATCCACAAATATATCCTTAGGTCGGATAGTCCCACCCCTTCCACAGCATCGAGTTGACAATATATACATCCTGTCCATATCTTACAGTTATACAACATTCTATGAGTAGTAAATCTTATGCACGTCTAAAAATCGCGCTTGTAATGGCAGGGCGTAGACATCGCACTGAGGATCGGAAGCTCAATCTTTACTATTACACTGTCTTGAAAGCTGCCACCCAACTTTATAGCTACCTATCAATGTTATAGCCATTTCAATGACGTGAAGTTTTTTCATGATCTATGTCACTTAAGCCTCCATTGTCTTGGCTTCATGGGCAGTCACTCACTATTAAAAATGAGTAGCAATCCAGCTACCAATTGATTTTCACTAGACTATCACCTATTTTCCATAGGTCTCGTCCTTCTGTAAACAATACATTAGATAAGTAGAAGTCAATCTAAATTAGTTATGAACTCTACAGATAATACTTGCATTGACTATACCAATTATAATTGGCCTCTTTGCCTATAAACTGTATCTTGAGTATCACTTCTCTCAGGTAAGAATTAAAATATGATCCCTACAGGCTAACTGAGGTATTAACGCCAATAACAGCACCAGGCACATCATGGGTTATCTCTACCGAATCCTTTTGACCGGTCGATCATATTTATGAATGCCAATGGGAGACAATTGTCAACCACTAGAGCTTGGGAATACCAGTAATCTATTCTTCTTCTTTGGTATCTATAGTGTGGTCTTAGCATAAAGCTAATCATAGATTTTCTCAACACAATAATCATTACCTAAGATTTTAATGAATTCAGACCGAGAAGAGCTCCTTCAGTCTCTGTCTCTATATGGTTTAGCGACCGATTTTGAGGCTATTATGGGTGCAGTCTATATTGATTATGAAAAGAATCTACTAACCTTGGAGAAGGTAATAAGGCAACTTTACGCGTAGCGCGATGGGCGATGAATTCTACAATTTATAGGAAGGTAAGAACCCGGCGACACAGGGGAAGATCTCTCTCCAATATTTTCAACATTCTTCATCATCGCTCATGGATATTAATAGTGATCCTATACCAGGTTCTAAATAACGAGATGATTCGGTACCTTAAATACTCATATATACAACATGACTATCTTCTCTATTGGTTACATACGGGTCAGGGCCGGAGGCATACGGTAGTAGTTTCAACTATTATAATGGAATGGACATCGCCATCCATATACTCAAACCGACATGACGAATCGGATCTCACTTGCAAACCGTATAATAATCATTTCGTTACTCCATAGTAAGTTACTAGTACTTCTCAGGTCTATACGTGATTCAAGTACCCTAATCACTATGATCATCCTCTACTAGTATGGTAATCTGCAGAGAAGACAGAATGGATATCATGGAGCAGGGAGGCAGATGCATCTTTTTTCTAGTCCTTCTATTCTATATTTTCATCAAGAAGCAGTTGAATTACTTAATGGAAAACTGATATGTAGATAGCACTTCTTTTGCTTTATTGGTTCCCTGAAAACCATCCCGCTTAAGGCTCCGAAGATTAGCCTAAAATTAAAGCCCGAATCAGACTGCATCGACAACTCAAGCATTTTCCCACGCTCGTGTGCACAAGACCAACTGGTAGCCATCGGGATCCGCAATTGTCACACCCCATTTGTTCCAGTATTCGTTTGTATGTTTCAATCTCCTGCCTCCGGCTTGGAGCAGCTTCTCTAATGCCTCAGGATCTATCTGTCCGTCCAGATACAGGACAACTAAGTCCTCTTCGGTCGGTGTTGGAAATTCCCCCTGCTCAAAAACATGTACGAGTTCTAGATGCCATGAAGCGCCGGGCCATCCCAGCATAAGCAGTTCGTGTCCCCCCTCGGTTTCACTGGGCGGCGGACTGCGCCATAGTACTTTGAGCCCTAATCCGTCGACCCAGAACTTTTGCGCTATGTCGATATCCCGACAGGGCCGTGCGATTCGCAAATGGGATGATGGCACTGGAAATTTCCCTGTTCCAGGATTTGAAGCAATTGGCGATAGGCTGTCTGCAGTCATCGAGAAATTTAATCTCTTATAAAGTGTGTATCGTCAAATTTGCTCTGGGTGTGTGTGGTTAATGAGTGCACTAAGAAACTCCTGAGTATTGACGCTTTCAGTGGCCGGTGGGCGTGTGGCGTGTATAGAAGGATGCTGCTTGCGTGTTCGCAGTGAAATAATGGCTGACATGTATGAACTGAATTGTTACGCTAGTTAAACAGTTAAAATAAAGCACTTCACAATCTACTAACCAGAACCGGAGCCGATTATTAATACACTACCTCAGGGCCCAAATCCACTAGTCTAAAAGAGGTGTCCGATAAATTACTTAGTCAATTAAGGACCGCATCAGTGGCGAGCTATAACCCTAAATTTAACATCCAGCTGAATCATCATTCGTCAACCATACATCGTGTACGTCGTTTGGAACTCGTCCGGATTCGTTGTAGTGCATGGAGAAACGAGCAATTAGGATGCTTCCCACTCGTTTTCGGAAAGTTGTTTTCGTTAGGGCTACAAAAAGAATTTATCAAGGGGCACATTCTGCACTACATCCAGAATGGGTACTGATAATATATGTAGATTTGATTCTTACATCCATTCTTTACAACGAATCTATTGCTCATTATAGAGGTATATTCTCCAAAAAGATGCCGTCTGTTGTATCGTGACTGTATTTCTCGCTTATCTCCTATCATTTCGGCTATTCTTTTAGTCAAGGAAGGATAAGCTTGGCCGTACAAACTTCATTGTGAGACTACCGTTACGGTTAGAATCCTGGCTCAACAAATTGATGAGGATGACATTTTCGGTAAGAGTTTGGATGGTAACGTCTCTGAGTGGTGGACTGTCGACATGTAAAGGGTCCTTTGTTAAAGAGATTGGCCCAGAATTCTATTTCCGTCGAGTACATACTCTATGTGGATTGGGATCAATGAAATCGAAACAACCATGCGCTCAGAATCACTATTCTCATTCTGCAAAAAGAGGAGATAGGTGTATACATACTCTCAGCTTACAAGCGGCCTGCCTTGGAAACTTCTCACTTCACCCCACACACTCCGACTGAATCTGACATGGTGACCCTACTTAGGAACTCTCCGGTCCATAGGCTGGCGTCGCATGGCGGGGTGTCTTGCGGGATGTCTTGCGGGGTGTATCCGCTGAATGGAAGGGACTGGGATCCGTAAAACTGCCCCTCAACCACACCATCTATTCTGTATATATTTTCCCAATTCTCTTTTGTATTATTGATTCATGACAGTTCCATTAAAGCCCGGCGGGGTTACAACTCTCCCCCGAGTGTACCGCGGCAAAATCTGCTACGACGCACCGCGCACAGCAATAATAAGATGAAGCCACGGCGTTGCCGCAATTACTGACCTGTTTCCCATCAGCGACCATATGTACACATTTACATAGCCATTTTCATCATGCCCCTTTTTACTGAACATGCCTCCAGCTGGCGTGATACTAGGACTCTCCCATCCTTCGCCCCCCCACTCCCACGTCTGAGCCCTAAGTTTGCACCCCCTGACGATGGGGTACAACGGTATGAGGTGATTATTGTTGGGGTATGTTAGGAAGGCTCTTTGCACTGTTCAGAAAGACCGTTGTCGCTAAATATGGCCAGGCTGGACCAGCAGGTCTAATGCTTCACCTGCTCTTAGCTAGATACGGCCTGACAGACCAGTCTTTATTATGCATTGACCCGAAACCGAATACACTGAAAGCCGGCCAGGCCGACGGGATACAGCCACGCACACTGGAGGTCTTTAAGACTTTGGGCATATCGGACGAAATTGAGAACGAGGCTTGCCAGATGTGGGAGTTCGCCTTCTGGAACGCCTCTGATAACCCGGCTAAGGTGATTGAAAGGCGGTCTTGCGTGCCCGAGGTGATTCCACCTGCAAGGTTCAAATACGAGGCAACCATCCACCAGGGACGTGTGGAGCGAATCATGGAGACCGATCTCCTCCGGTACTCGCAGCGCGGGGTCATGAGGAAGACTAAGTTGATTGAAATGCGGATTGACGAGTCCGCAGATCCAGAGTTCCCTGTTCTTGCCGATATCGAAGTTGATGGGGTGTTGCAAAGCGTCCGTACGAAACATCTTGTTGGCGCAGACGGCGCACATTCGGTGGTCCGCAAAGGTGTTGGCCTCGAGTTAGAAGGCCAGTCGCTTGATTATATCTGGGGAGTCGTTGATGTGGTCCTTGATACGAATTTTCCCGATATCCGCAGACGCTGCGCTATTCATTCGCCTGAAGGGTCTGTCATGGTTATCCCTCGTGAGAGGATCGCTTCCGGCGAGTATATCACTCGACTCTATGTGAACATTTCAGAAATTTTCGAGCCTGCAAGTCGCCAAGCAGAGGCGGATCTTAAGAAGGCAGCGAAAGGAAGACGAAGTAGAGTCACATTAGAAGGAATCCTGAGCCAGGCTAAAAAAGTGTTTAAGCCCTACTACATCCGGCCCAAGAGCGATGATAGTGTCGATTGGTGGGCCGCGTACCAGGTTGGTCAGCGAGTGTGCCCTGAATTTATCGTCAAAGACTCCAACGGCCTTCCTCGCGTTTTTATCGTGGGTGACGGTGAGTGACCGATGTTTTGGATGTCTTAGAAGTATTTTGTGTCGAATTCCACGCTGATCAATATCAGCTTGCCATACGCATAGTCCAAAGGTAAGCCATGCAAATGCTCTTCTATATCTTAACTATCAATAGCTGACCCAAGTGTACAGGCCGGCCAAGGAATGAACGTGTCCATGATGGACTCATACAACCTCGCTTGGAAGCTAGCTTATCAGATCAATGGATTAACTCCTCGCCAGGGAGATGCAAGGGACCCTAGCCCGCTGCTGGACACATATCACATAGAACGCCATACAAACGCGCAACAATTGATCGATTTTGACCGAAAGTTCTCGAGCGGTTTCTCGGATAAGGTGGGCACAGCCGAGTCTCATTCCGGCATTTCCCACACCGAGTTCGTCGACATATTTAGGACCGGATGCGGCTTCACCAGCGGCTGCGGCGTGGAGTATGATGAGAATATACTGGTGGACAGGTCATCTGGTGGTCTCATTAACGGTGAAGACTTTCTATCGGGAATTTTGCGATCTGGGCGACGCCTGCTAAATGTCAAGCTAAAGCGCTTTGCGGACGGGTGGCATCGTGATATTCAAGACGGTATACAATATCTTGATCTGTAAAAAAGACTGTGCTAAGGCTCACAATTTCAAGATCTTGCGTCGACTGGCAGATTCCGTTTACTGTCACTCCTTAGCAATGACCTACTTGACATAAATGGGGTCTCCGCAGCATCGGTAAACTCGACAGCAAGTCTGGTGCGGCAATACCCTACGTCTCTTCTTGAACAGATTACAGTCTATCCTAATTTGCCAGGCGAACTAGCCTGGGAAACTATCCCTCCGTGTGTGAAGGAACAGAGTGAGATGACCTTTTACAGTGGCTACGAGCTTGACGATGTGTACCGCATTTATGGAGTTGATCCGGCATGCGGTGCACTGGTGGTCGTGCGTCCGGATGGTTATGTAGGTCTGGTTGCAGGACTCAGTGACGTTACCCATATCGATACATATCTGAGTCATATTATTACTCGAGGTGCATAGATCCATTCGATCTGTTTCTATCAGAAAACGAGCCCCTTCACCCTGCCAGAAGGGCTTACAACATTCCCTCAATAAACGACTGATGTGGCTTACGTTGATTAAGTTGTGCTCCGAGTCTGGTATGTAGCTCATTACCACCTGGTCTTTTTCCGGTCTCGTGCGCATACATGAATACATGTCAAGTAATCTAGTTACTAGCATACGTGCAGAAGATCTCCAAATGAATCCGATATTTCCTTCAGAGAATCTCCACGTTTGCTGCACCGCCTTTGACAGAGGGCTAGTTTGTATAAGCTTTTTTCCGATTCAGTATCAGAAGTATTGAATGATCTGCGCCCGTGTCTCGGCTAGCGAAATCTTGAGAGAATGAGATGCGGACCTATTAGTACTAGAGTGCGCTACTGAGGAGCTTGGAAGGCCTATCATAGGGCGGTTAACAAAGTTTGGGAAGCCTCCTTACACGTAATAGATGGGACTCACTAGGCTGAGCAAAAATGATCTTGGATGGCACTTTGCTACATTAATCTAAACTTGAGCGGCACCACTTCGGCCTCAAAGCGGGTGATAGCGGGAAGTACCTCGGAGGCGTGGGTATTCTACGTACTGCAACAGGTCTCTGAACCTAAGTTACTCAATTAGAAGAGGTATTTATCTCCCAAAGACCGGCACTTGAGCTGGAAATCTACCGAACTTTATCAGGCTGACGAATTCCCCGGCGGGGTGAACCTGCTTAGTTCCGAGCTATCTCAGACTTGACTTCGAGCTGCTAAGTTCCGGATGCCGCTGATACCACCCCTATAGACTCGGAGCTATATAAAAAGAAGCTGGGATTTAATGGACTTACATCACAAAGTACATTGAGTCTCAGCTACTCCTTTCCATGTAGCTCCATAAGCGTTGCCGAGCCTTCGGGCACACTCACTAGCGGTTTACATACTTTGTTTACTCTCCAACGCAGCACACAAAACTGAGGAAAAAGACTTCGAGATGCCCCATCTGCTAAATCGACCCAGAAGGTCAATCAAGCGGTGAAGGTGACTGACGATGGCAGAAGTAGCCTCGCTGAAACTCCGTAAATGAGCGTCATAGGGACGCGCAAAATTCTCTACTAAGCGGATCTCGGGAGCGTCAAATGCATTGGTATCAATTGTATGCCCACCGCCAACGCGAGTAAAGCAAAACCATGCCAGAGCTGCTGTGAAAAGAGCTCGAGGTATATGGATTGCAGGCTCTGATGACACCCGCATCCGCTCAAGGTGCCGCTGGATCAGTAACGCGTGTAGTAGGCACCTGCTTGCATCGAGCGACGTCACCCATGATTGGATAAGAGGAGTACTGGAGCTGGCGGACCTCTCACCGTCGCGACCGCTTACTCGTTCCAGTAAGTCTATATCTGCGTAGATACTGATAAAAATCAAGTGCCACAGAACTGGTAAGCTAAAATGATCGTCCGTATCGAGAGAGAAGTGATTGGTATATATCCTCCACCACTGCATGAGGATGCTAGAAAATCGTCTTGATTCATAATCGTCGAACGTACTTGAGCGTCGAAGCTCAATAACTTGCGCACCGATACTCTCTAGGACTCCGTATGCCGAGAATCTAGAGTGCGCCACGCTCGTTTGAAGTGCATTATCTCCAATAACAGACGTCAAGCCCTGCGTCGACGTTCTTTTGTAAAGCGCGGCCCATTGTGGCGCAGTGGGTGCCATGAACAATGCATCGGAAGCTATACGTGGGTAATGTCTAAGTTGATGCTTACGGAGAGGCTCGTGGTGTAGAAGACCAGCCAGCTCCGCATCATGAATATTCAATGCAATCTCCACCCGTTTTCGCTGTTCATGATCAACCCACCGGCTCCACTGCTCAGCTAAGTCCGGGCCACTTGGATCCAACCTTTCCGGATCGTGGGGGACTTGTTGCGCGTTTTTATTAGACTCCCGTGCCCATGCCATAACTGTGCCATGCAGCACATCTGCCAGCACAAGGGTCTTGGGGCTGCCCGATAAAATGGCAAAAGTCTGGCCAAGTACAGCTGCTTGCACCATTGACAGCGCGTTAGAGCGGCTTTGCGAGAGAATTGACTCCCAGGATGCCAATATGGCTTTGTTCAGTCTCTCAAATAGACGAGTTCCTTGAGCGACAGCAGAGGCTGATCCTGCGAAAAGACTGCCAACAGAGCAAATAGAGACAAAGAGGAGGGAATTTTCCAAGGTGGGCTTAAAAGAAGGCAAATGGACAACGGGCAGAAGAGAATTGAAACGGCTGAAAAAGAGGTTCACGAAGAGATTCAGTTGGTCCGACGAGGGGAGGCTCTCATCATGCATCCGAGGCTGCAGTGTCCGCAATAGGCCCGCCCTGTAATGCTCGTCTGCCACAATGTTTCCCTGACCAAAAGAACCACCATGGTGAGTGGAAATTGCCGGTATGTTTTGTGCTCCTGCCTCAATCGGTAGCTGCGTGAACCATACCTGCCTCACACGGTTGGCTGGTAGCTCCTGAGCATCTGTTGATATTGCTACTGAGCGCATCAATGGGTGTGGGTGGTAAGTGGACGCGTCGCCTGAGTTAAATGCACATATTTGCGGAGGCAGCTGCGCCCACTCTGACACGGCGGATGACAAGGTAAAATCCAAAGCATCGATATCCATCCCAGTCCCAAAGAACCAAGAGCCTGGGTCAGCATTGAGACTGGATTCATGTAGACCATCTCTGAGCACTGATTGTTCGGCTATCGACTGCAACTGTTCCGTCAAAATGGCCTCATTAGATAGCCGAGGTGTAGTAATGGAGCATTCTGACATCATTGGGCCGGGATTGGGAGTTTCTTGAGACAGAAGGGTAAACAGCGTGATGTCCTGTTCCGGTTCGTCTGGTGATACGGGCAAGGTAGTCTGATGACTCCTCTCGTGCCGTCGCAATACATCACTGGGAGTAATATCAGATGAATGTGTCGATGAGAATAGCGGTATTGCAAACCTGCGTGAATAAAGCTTGTCACAGACTGAACACCGGTAGGGCCTTTCTTTCTTGTGGCTGCGAAGGTGGCGTGTGAGATGCTCCGGCTTTGAAAAAGTCTTTTTGCAAGAATGGCAGCTCCGACTCTGCACAGTGCTCGTTTTTCTTGTCATTGTTCATTTGTAGCGGGTGATAGAGGAGATCTAAAAGGGAAAATTGCGGGCAATTGCTGATTGTTTCTTGAAGGCTCCAGTCGGCCAGGTCGGCCGGGGGTGTGGAGTATTTCCACGTGACTGTCCACCCCACAATCCGGGAGATCAGCAGGCGGGGAATCACACAAAATGATGTACATACTCTGTAGTAGTACGGGGTGAGGAGAGCTGGGCAGTTACTTCACCCCGCAACATAGGCAGTGCGGAGAAGAGACATGTAGCTGGCTATTAAACCCCCCTAGCTAGTGCATTTCGCAAAAGTTCAATTTGTAAAAGTCTATACAGGTTGTGGAAATAAACCTGACTGTTACTATGACCAGCGGCACTATGATCACCGTCGTATTTGTTCTATTCTGTTGCTGGGTAGCATGGAAAATTCTCCATTTGGCAGTCTCTGCCCGACGCTCGCCATTGCTTCCTCCTGGTCCGCCAACGATTCCGTTTTTGGGTGAGTTTATTCTTTTTGCATGTGTTGCAGCTCTCACGAAAGTAACATCTAGGAAACCTTCACCAATTGCCTTCCAGCAAAGCGTTCCTCAGATTCCAGAAATGGGGACAAGAATATGGCCCGATAATCTCACTAAAAACTGGGCCTGCCAATCTTGTTGTTCTGAACTCGGCGAAAGACGTGAATGAGTGAGTGATACCAGAACAATGACCGCAGAGCTGATACCAATGTCGACAGACTATTCGACAAGCGTGGCTCGATTTACTCAAGCCGGCCTCCAAACCATATTGGCAACGAGATAATTACTCGCGATAATGTACACCTACTGCTCATGCCATACGGCCAGGCATGGCGCACGCAAAGGAAAATATACCAGGCCCTTGTCAGTATCACTGCCGTCCGGTCACTGCAGCCAATCCAAGACGCAGAGTCGACTCTAACAATTCATCAACTGGCACAAAACCCCGCAAGATACTATGATCATATTCGCCGATACTCCACCGGGGTGATCCTTTCTTCGGTCTTTGGCGTCCGTGGCCCTGAATTTGACCATCCCAATGTCACACGCCTCTATCACGTTCAGGATCAGTTTACCGCCATTCTAGACACAGGTGCTACCCCGCCCGTGGATATCTTCCCCTTGCTCAGACGACTCCCAGACTTTATGTCTCCATGGCGTCGCTGGGCACGTCGGATCCGGAAAGAACAACGTCAGCTCTACCTGGAACTGCTCCATGACGTAAAAGATCGACGAGTTCGGGGTTGCCGGCGCAATTGTTTCATGGACCAGCTGCTGGATGAGAGCTTTCGCGAAAAGTACGAGCTGGATGATGAGCATATCGCGTATATTGGTGGGGTTCTGATGGAGGGTGGATCAGATACTACGGCGTCCACATTGCTTTCATTTCTCCTCGCGATGGTTAAGTACCCCGTTGTCTTCCGGAAGGCACAAGAGCAGGTTGACCGTGTATGTGGTACAAAACAGTCCCCAACCTTTGAGCACCTCCCCCAGTTACCTTACATAAAATGTTGCGTATCTGAGGTAAAGTATACGCACTGCTTTTGACAATACAATCATTCCATCACTAACAATTCAGATCCTGCGCTGGAGGCCCGTAGCTGCAGGCGGTATTCCGCATGTGTTAATTCAAGGTATTCTTATCCTGGCCTAGATGCATAGATTGGATGCTGATTGCCGCAGACGATGAGTATGAAGGATACCACTTTCCGAAAGGGACGACCTTTCTAGCAAACACATGGTATGCGTCCTATCATATTCGTCCTGTAGCCCCCACTTTATTGGCCTGACAGTTTAAGGGCAATACATAATGATCCCGAACTCTACGACAAACCTGAAGATTTTATCCCAGAACGTTACGAAGAGTCCCCTATGGGCTTCAAGCCAACACAGCGAAGAACTGATGGTCTTCGGAAGACCTACGCGTTCGGTGCAGGAAGACGAATCTGCCCAGGTCAGCATCTGGCAGAAAACTCTCTTGATATCAATGTTGCAAAACTCGTCTGGGCGTTTGATATCCGTGCAGGGACTGACCCGGTCACTGGGCGGCCAATTAGCTCCAACGAGATCAACGTTGATATAGAAACACAATGGACGGACGGATTTCTGATCGCGCCTAAGCCCTTCCCAATTACTTTGAGAGTCCGTTCAAATAAACATCGCGAGGTATTGCAACAGGAGATGGATCAAGCTCAGAAAATCTTCAGCAGATATGGCGATTAGGGTCATGCTTAGGAGAAAGAGGGCAAAATGATTTAAGATTAGACGCGCTTTGAGCGAACTCTTAAAAGCTTAGCAAGCCCAGGGGAGTAGAATATACCATGAGACTAAATCCAGTAAATTGATTTGGTGGCGGACATACTACGCCCCGTTATATCACAAATTTTTAGCCAAAAAAAGTTGTTGGAAAGCGACCATCAGCGTGTCTAGGTAGCTACTAATTGTGGCCGTATGGTAAAAGATAATAGATTGCTCTGGAAGAGGGTATCATCGGGCGCGTTGTCTATACTCAGAAGGGCATGCTTAAAGTCCACTAAATCAACAGAATGCCAATACATTCGCTGACAGGCTCGCAAAGAAGCAATAGTTTATAGGATAGGAGAAGGGACAACCACGGCGGGCGCAAAAGTAATAAACACCGAAGTTACACAATAAGAACAATGAAACGCGCTATATGTACACAAGGGGAAGATTTTACTGGGCACATCTTACGCCCGAGAACAATCATAGTATGGATGAAAAGACAGTAAATGTATTAGCTCCAGTCAATTGAACGCTCTACAGAAAGACCTGGAACACGGCCTTTGACAACTCTTCCATCCTTGATGATAGCCATCAGGCTCTGATCCGTTCGACGGAAACTGCTTATCTCTTCGAGAGGATTTAGCTTCGGAAAAGAATATCGCCATAGGGACCAGGGATGATTTCTCTCAGCAGCCCTTCCATAGCAACATTATTTGTGAGCGAAGGGCATATGCAGATATATCATTACAAGTTGAGTCATACCTCAAGTGTCTGTATAGGCAAAGTTGGACCCATTGTGTCAGTACCAAAGCACACAGTCACGTCTGCTTCCTCTGCCATTCGGATTGCCTGAGCTCCCGCATTACCGACCAACGCATTATTTTTCATTGACTTTTCATTCTAGAACTTGTCGTATGGCGGCATCGCCGGAAAAGTGTGAAGACCCAGCGTCAGGGTCAGTATAACGTCATGCTCAGCCATAGGTTTGACCGTCGGCATATCAATCATACTGCCGTGTTCAATTCCAGTAATGCCCCCCTTGATTGCATGCTGCAATCCCTCAGCGGTATAACAATGGGCAGTTACCCGGGTAGATCTCATGTTTTTAGGCACGGTAGTAATAGCTTGGAGGTCGTCAACGGTAAATTGCAGGCTTTCCAACTTTTCAGTCTGAGATGCTATACCATCAGATGTACATACCTTGAGATGATTCGCCCCTTTGCGTATGTTGTCTCTAGCAGCCTTGAGAAAGTCTGGTACTTTATCACATAGATTCAGCAAGAAGAATATAAGATTACAAATAGAGTGCCGACCCGCATTTTTCAATTCTTAGTTTGCACGTCAAAACAAGCTTCAATTATTGTTTTTTACGCCCTTTCCTTGCTCCCCTCGGGACAAAAGAAAGAGGCCCTGGGTTACCACGCAATTTCTACGCCTCGAGTCTGGTTATGCCCTGTCCGCGGGCGCACAACAAACAATTGAAGGCAAGAAATACTGCCTTGAATCCAATCTGTATGATGAAGTCGGAGTCATCGCGACAAGAGGTATTACAGAGGGCCCAAGGACATCATATGGATCAATGGGGCGTGAAGATACTGTCATGTTACTTGATAGACAGGTTTAACTCGGCTCAGAAAGGCAGAAAAGTGGCCAGAGTATTTCTAAGTGTACTTCTGAATTCAGATAATTCATCGACTGAATCCTAAAAGGTGAACAAAATGAATGCTCCGGTCTGCCCTACTACAATTTATGAGGCGCAAGGAGGCTTGTACTATACATCACATTGAAAGATGCTACAAAGAGACGATAACCACTGCCTGAATAATAATAGACAACGTCACATCGTGCCCTGCATCTTCTAGTATATGAAGTTGTCCTCACTGACATTCATCTCAAAGCCTCACAAAACGGAGAATGGGTAAAAGCCACTTGACAATAGGGCACATAGAAGTGTCTCAGTCTTGCGATTCGCTTCTTAGTTGATCACAAAGGGCACGACATTTAGGTAAACTACTCATCCAACACACAGCTTGTCGAGCCCTGTTCAGGCTTCGTAGCTCCAGGACAGGTAGGTTTCACCGCGAGGCTGCCATTGTATCTTTCACTCAACCAATCTCGTAATTGTTGAAAGTTTCGACAGGTGTGCGTAACGTCCGAATCAACATAGCTATGCTTCCTGGCTTTGTTGTATATGGTGGGAACCGGTGTCATATCGCCCGCGCACATGATGTACTGACGTACTTGCTCAATGCAGTGGACTATGGAATTAGCGCGGATACAACCTGCAGGAGTATTTCCACGTACGATGATGCACACGATGTGTATAAAGGTCCTCCTGAACATAATATTCGGGATAGAAACGCTGGCGAATCCGATCTAGACAATGTAGCGTGTGAAACATATCGAAGCTATCCAGCTTGGGCCATTAGTAAACATGACTTTGCTGGCTGGCAACAGAATATGCTCACCCACTGATATATCCGCCTCGTAGTGGACTCCAAAACTGCTGAATATCTTCATACTGCTCCTCAAAAGCATCCTTTGCCTCCTGCTCACTCAGGACGATGTAGCGACCTGAAAACATTAGATATCATCTATGCCTGTGCGTTGTGTGTGTTTTGGTGGCGTATCGTACCCCAAGTCAATTCCTCCCAAGCCCTATCTAGCTCTGGGCTTGGGTCGGCTGTATAGTTGATTGATGCTGGATGAGGAACATAGTAGGTGCCATTCTCAGAATACATAGGGCCGCCAGTAAAGCGTACTTCCTCTAGATTAATTGCGGATCGTGCTGGGCCTATTTTTTATGGTACTATTAGCCGCAGTTCGACAAATATAGCGTATACAAACCGACCAAAATCAGTCTTCCACCCAGCTGAGTAGCTGTACTCGAGCGATTGCGTAGGGGGCAGTGATTTGAGGAAGAAGTAGCCAGCAGCCCAGGCAAAGGTGACAGTCGACACAACCCAAGGTAGAACAAAGGGCCAGACTCGAATTTTTGAAGTTTCTGTTGCTTTTGGACTCAATAAGCCCGAGCTAGACTCGCTATCCTTCTCGGACTCGTATTCCAGGCTGGAATATGCCATCGAGTGTTTCCTGCGCAAAAGATCCATAATCGTTTGAATCATGATGTTAAGTTGGCAGATCTGGAAATCTGCTGGTACAATAAGCGTGAAGACAGAAATCGTCACAGTTACAAAGCATCATAGCAGAGCTAGATAAGAGACAGATGGTAGAGATTGAGTATGATTACTTGATTATTAGGCAGGACTACTTGTATCATAAAATTCGGCTCGATACAGAACAATAACACTAATACGAAAACATGCCGTTGATTCTTACAATGATATACTATTAATAATATATCATCAAGTGACCAGTCGGAGAGTCAAGCCGGGATGAGTTATTGTGGTCCTGACCTAAGTAGGACAATTATCCCATTATGCTCAGCCTAGAAATTCGCTTCGGTCGATACATAGTAGAGCGCTGTATTGATGTTCTTTCCCCACTCCGCTGAGCACCAGATCGATAAGCAGACTATCAAGTGATCTTCTACCAATTGTATGATTTTTTGATCTTGTACTACATGATCTGTAGCATCCACAACATAGCCCCCAAAAGAGAGCGGGCAAAAAATACGTGTAATAATGAAATATACTTATCACTACGGGGGCCTAAAGATTACGGAAGGACGACCCATCTTATACATATTCCCACAAACCCGCTTTTACAGTTACACTATGTGGAGGCGTTGCAACAGATTAAAATCACATACAAGGATCGTAGGGAAGGCGGCAGGTGTCTCCACAGAGAAAGAAAATATAACATACTGAGATGAATACGTTCAACCGTACGTCCCGGCGTATTGATTTACACCTAGTAACTCCAAAAAACTTTCGGAAAAAGGTACGTGTCGATACTCTAATTACCGACCTGCAGAAAAGAGTAAGTTGAATATTTGTTAAAGAAGGCATCTTTTACAGATGTCAGTGATTGTTCTTAGTTTTGAACAAAAAAAATTCTTCAGTCCAATCTATGCCCTCTTTCCCTTCATATTGCTTAATCAAAATGCATTTGAAACAAGCGAAGAAGGGTTTTTATTGCTCGTTATTGATATTCATACCTTCCTTGATCATTTTTCTTGTTTCATGTCTAATCCCTCCTAGAGATGCAGCCTGTGATAGGCGAAGTCTGACTTTTACACCATTGCAAGAGGTCATCAGCTATAAATGGATCAATTACGGCGACTACTTCTATCCTCGATCGATCTATCGTACATCCCAGAAGGTTGCGCCAGAGACCGAGCAAGCTTGGCGGGACTTGAAACAAGGTCTATCATTTAAGATACATTACCCATATCTTATGTAGATACTGACCACTCTATTAGATTTTGAAATTAGCATACCGGATCAGATGCTGGGCGTGCTGAACCAATCTACCGATTATACCTGGAAAAGGCATCCAGATGGCGGTATTGCTGCAAAATTAGCAGTCTTTTATCAGCTCTCATGCCTGGTTGGTCCACTCTTATTTCTATGAACGAGTTACGTCGCAGGACCCCAAAAAGCTAAATCTCCAGTAGAGCAGCATCCGCCTCCACGTTAAGGCGGACCTGGAGGACCCGCGACGCCAGGAATTCAGGGAGGAGGTTAACCAGTGCATTGAGTTACTAAGACACAAGTTCATGTGCCATGCGGATGCCACCCCGTTTCTGCTTTATAACGACCCCGGTGCTATTCGTGGCGATCGTCCAGATATGGGAACGAAACACAAGTGTAGGGACTATGACGCAGTAGTATCCTGGTCAAAGCAGAATCCGAAGATAATGACATAGGAAAGAATAATGAATTTTGTTTAAAAGTCCAAATGTTGACCTATTTCTTTCAAGCTCCTTTCCTGCGTTTATAACATGTGTTCGCCGTGGTCATTATGTACACTCTGCTTCTTCACCTCTTCTATGGCTCGAATCCGCTCTTGCGTAATGTTATACGGATGAACAATATTTGCTTCGGCCCATTCCACTAGTTTATTAAAATTTCTGCAGTGATAGAGTCCGTCTGTACGGACGACATCGATTTGATCGTCGCGCACCTCGATTAGGTAGGGGGTCACATCCACGGTACACATTAAATTAATCCGCAGAACCTCTATGCAATGATCAACATGATCATAAAACACATCTGGTTGCCGTAAGAATGCTGGATTATCACTATAGTCATATTCGTCGCGATATGTGAACTGCCGCAAGAGATCCTACAAATCGTTTAGCAAAACGCAAAGAAGTAGTCAAGGGGACCCTACAACGCAATGAATCTGATGAAAAACCTCAAAAAAGGCCTCAATACCTCCTCCTACTTCGTCAGGTAGATGTTTCCACTCTACGTCACGCGACTTATTCAGAAGATCGAGTTTAGAGTCTGGCMCCCCCGCCGAACCATCTATATCACATTACAATCAGCAAAGTCCGAGCAAAGTTCTATTGACATACACTCCCAGAGCTTTCCCCATGCTTTTTCTACTTCAGCTGTTGGCTTTTCGTAATAGATATTCGGTATATCTTCTCTAAAGTGTCGCCATTCATACTCAACCGCTTCCAGCATGGGTGACCAAGTAGACATCTTCCTGGTACATTGAGCGTCCGTGGGAAATTGCCAGCTCGCTAATATCAATGTAAAAGATGCCACAAGAAAAATTGCACAGCAAATCAAGTACGCTAATTTGTGGACGTGCTCGGAAGTTGTTCTTGTTCTCTTTGTACCAAGTTCCTCCTCTGCTTGGAGAAACGGAATGTCCTCTTCCGAATAAGAGCCACGGCGAGAACGCATCGCGATGAGATGTGCCTTGAGATAGAAGGGTTCGGTGTTAGATAGAGTATCTGATTGATCTCGTCAAATGTTACTGCGCTTTTTAGTCATTTGTCCGATTATTTAGTAATACTTAGGAATTATCATATTTAGTAGTTGACAAGATTACTTTACCGCTATCCCGAATATGGTGAACGCAGCGCATATATTCACCCACCTGCTCTCATTGGATAGCGACCATGCCTCGCTGTAAGGTATTACCAAGAAATCCCCTTTGCGTAATATTTTCTGTATGGCCTACTATGCCAGATCAGAAATCTTCTCTCTTTTAGCCAAAGACTCAATTCAATACGTTACGCGTTCCCACTCAATTTCTCAGTATTCTACCTATAGTGGGGCTTAAATTACCAGCATAAAGAATGGTACAGTGGTCTGGAAATTACCCGTATTCAAATGATAGAAGGACTTGGACTAAGTCTACAGGTGGACCGAACTGCTTTTGAAAACACCAGATTTGTACTTGTTACATTGTGCTGATCAGACGGACTTTTTACACGTCTTTTCTATCCATTGAGCCATCTTCCCGCTCGGTTTATCCACCCAGTAGTGAAGCAAGTCTGCAAGCCACAATAACACGAAAGTAGTCATCACAAAGCCCATCGCTATTCCCAATTGACGCCGGACTGGTGTGTTATTTCCGGTCAAACGCCAGGAAAGCTCAACGGTTCGGAGACCCAGAACGTGTATCAATGGCTCATGCACCACATACAGTGAAAAGGACAATTTTCCGAGATATCGCGTGCAGCTTCTCGTAAAGATCCATTGAGCGCCTCGCGAGTGGCCAATGTAACAGACTAGCAAAACTGCTCCATAGGCGTGCCAATAATGATAATCGTTAGTCAGAGAGTATAAAAAGTGGTAGCCTGTAGCTGGAGACACGCCGCGATACCGAGGGAAGGATGAGAAATAAACAGCAACTCCTAAAAGTATCAACTTTGCGACAGAGCATAGATATCGCGCTATTGTACCATTACTGAGAAATGATGGATAAACCCTTTTTTTCTCCCGACCGCGACTCAGATCATAATCGGCAAGGCCCATGCCTGAGAGATAGAGGGCCACATCCCATCGCCCATGAGGGAGAGCTAATGTGATTAGAATCACAAGTATGATGGTCCTAAAGCGTCCACGAAGCCATAGTAGACTCCAGGAAGTAATAAAGAGAACCAATGAACAACGAAATTGTAATGGTATGGTCCAAAGATGTGCACCATAGACGAATTGGAGATGGGTCGACCATGTCCAAGGATTTGTCAGGTCGTAGAAGACGAAATTCATCCAATCTTGAGTCTGTTGTAAGATACCATCTAGCCTTTGTGGAAATGTAGGTATGTGGCCTGGCAGAGTTGCGTAGGGATAATTGAAAAAGCCCAGTTGCACCAGCAACATCACCATAAAAGTTGAAAAGAGTGGCAACGGGAAAATTCTGAAAGCACGCCGGAATGTAGACGAGGCGAGAGCCTCCCAAGCCAACAGTAATCCGTCTTCTCTTGAGAGCCTAATAGGCTTCAGAGTCATTATATACCCTGATACGATCAAGAATACGGGGACATTCGGCCCTGAGTATAACATTTTGATCGGGGGAAGCTGAAACCAACTGCTATTTTCGACATCTTGACCGTATCCGTGGTCGAGGTTTGGGAACCAAGGAAGCAGAAAATGCCGAACAAACACCAGCAAAGACATAACACCTCTGAGCCCATTTAGATAGGTAGTTGCATGAGTCCTCTCGGGATTTTGCGGCTTATCTTGTAGTTGGTCACGTACATAGGATGGCAGGAACGACAGATAGAGATAGTATGCTACATCTAGCACACTGCGGGAGAGCATCATTCTTTTCTGACGGTGCGAATGATAAGAAAGCAGTAACGGTCTCATGTTCGTACTTTTGTCATTTTCATTTCGTCTCTCCTAGACGGTTTAAGTCAGAAAAAATGTGACGGGTTGGATATTAGTCAACAAGACCGAGTGACTGTATTCCAAATATCGGTACAGCAAATCTGCTTTTGTAACCGCGACAGTAAGTGTAACTTACAGTTAATTACGGTACAACCGGTATCCGCTAATACATGATTACGCTAACCAAACAAGTACTTACTCAATCATCACCGTTTTCAAGCCCACATCTTACCATTCGTTGTCTGAGGCTCTCAGCTGAATCATAGTCTTTTAGCACGCCATTTATGTGGGGTATTGTCAGGTATGGGGACGATCTTTGATCTCTATGGACACATTTACCGGTGGCTATATCGACCTTAACGACA